TTTTTTTTAATCTCCTAGGCTCTTTTAACATTTGGATGTCTTTCTTGAGGGTATATTTTGGCATCACTTCTTCAATTTCTAGGCCTAGAAGGAAACATTTCTACTATCAGTTTTGTGATTTTAAAAAACAAAACAACATATATTTTTTAAACAGAGTAATTTGGGATCAATAGTTTCTCTAGTTACTTTCATGTCTTTACTTGCATTTTTGTTCACTTTGTAAATTTATTAACCTTGGTGGAGAAAATCAGCTTTTCATGCTAATTTCTCCTATGATTTCTGTTCTCTCCTATATTCATGATTTATGTTTGAAGTGGATAGTGTTAAGTTTGATGTGTGTCTGTATTTGCCATAAGAAAATAGTGACAGGGCAGCTAGATGGTGCAGTGGATAGAGCACTGGCCCTGGAATATGGAGGACCTGAGTTCAAGTCTGGTCTCATACACATAACACTCACTATCTCTGTCACTCTTGGCGGGTCACTTAACCCCAATTGCCTCACCAAAAACAAAATAAAAATAAAATACTATTGAAAGAAAAAGAAAGAAAGAAAGAAAGAAAGAAAGAAAGAAGGAAAGAAAGAAAGAAAGAAAGAAAGAAAGAAAGAAAGAAAGAAAGAAAGAAAGAAAGAAAGAAGAAGGAAGAAAGGAAGAAAGAAGGAAAGAAGGAAAGAAAGAAAATAGCGAGAAGCAGGTTAGATTGTCTTCGAGTCCTGGTATTCCATTGTGTACTTTCTATATCCTTACTGCTGCGAATTCCCTCTCCCTCACTACCTCTCAAACTTCCACTATCTTTGGGCACTGCCTCCCTACTCTGACCAAAATCTGTTTTCAAATGGAAAGCTGATGATATCAGTCTTTTACTCTTTTTTTTTCTTTTTGCTTTTATACAAAAATATTTACTTCAAAATATAGTATAATCACAATGTAGCATACTCCCTCCACACATGGGAGGCAGAATCCTCCTTCCCCTTCCCTGTACCATCTCAGTCTCTGGAGAGGAGAGGTGATTGGGCTCGTAACATATCTCAGTTTTAATGGTGTACAGTCCCATTTCCAAGTCCAGCCTTCCAACCCACTTCAGCTTTGAGTCCCTAACACCCTAGTGTCTCATGGTTTCCCTGGAAGACTGTCTGGCTGCTGCATTCTGCCTACCGTATTGGCTCCAAGATCCCTATTGCTCATCTATGAGGATCACCTCTGGTATTTCAAAGTAAGAAAGACCAACCACACAACAAATACCCCCAGGCCCATTTCTCATAGTTGGAGTGAAAGAGAGAGAGCAAGGGAAGGAAAGTCCTTCCACTTCTACCAGTTCAGTCATGTTGTGGGTGAACTGGAATCTTTACCTCTGGAGGCAGTTGATAAGAGCAGAAAAAGACCTTAGTCCTATATTCATTAATGTGACATTGTTCTCTCTCAAGGAGGTTGGAGGTGGAGACAAATGAATTTCAGGCATTATTGAACTGGTGGATAAGGTTTGGGGGGGTTGGGAAATATAGAAGTGGGACAAAGGACCTTCCTGGAAACCTATACTCATACCATATAGGTGGTTGAATACTTTGTCTTTGCAAGCCTGGGTAGACCCTAATGTTCACTACTGGCTAATGAGTGACATTTTTATTTTGGGTTTCATTTATACTCTGTTCATTTTATTTCAAAAATGCCTATTATTTATTAGCCTTCCAGCTCATTCCTAAATATAGTGGAATAGTAGTAATAGCCCTTGACTTTACACCTTGGAATCTACAATAAGATTCTGCAAAGTAAATCTGGCCAGAAGTTAAATTTAGCCAGAAGCTCTAAGATGAATGGGGCTTCTTTTCTGACTTCAATAAGACTATGAAAATTGGCACAGAATATGAATATTTAATTTTCTATACATTCCAATTTTTTTTAATTTTTTGTCTCAGCATTTCTTCTTAGGTATAAGTTAACTTTTTTTTAAGAAAAAAGCTTTAACTATTTAGAGTTCAGTTCTCTACTTGAAGCCAAGAGGTTGTTGGCCATTTGCCCTCTTAATAGCTAAAGGGAAGGGAGCACTCTAGTCTATTTTCTCAGGTTGATTGAAATTTCTGTCCAGTAGGACTATGAACATTTGTAGGTTATACAGCTTTCAGCAAGGGAGTATGTAAAAATGTGCTTCAAGCATAGACATTTGTTTCTCCAGAGTATGGTAGAACCTGTGGATTTGCTTTTTCCTCTTCAGTTCTGCTCCAGAACTGCCTTTTGAAGGCACTCTATATACCCAAGGATATCACCACCCTTTAAAATCTAGTAGACTTATCTTAGAAAGCTGCTATAGCTAAAAAAAAACCCCTATTATTCTATAACCAACTTGGTGGTGAACTTTTCTAAAATTAGTTAAGTTAGTCCTTCAACAGAAGGTATAGAAGGCATCACTAGGTCTACAACTCCACTGACCTTTGGGTCATCATTACACCATGATGAAGCAATGAAATAGGATTTTAGTGGATGTGTACATAGATATAGGTAAGTGAATATACAAAGGATTATGTACAGGATCTGTGGGAACTAATATATCTCTGGATATAGAGGCAAAAGGGCCTGTGTTTAAATTATGATTCTGCCACTTAAAACCTTAGGCAAATTGCTTGACTTTTGTGGGCTTCTGCAAAATTAGGGGGTTGGACTTCTAGTTCCTTTGAAGCTTTAAAACATCTCATGATGTGATATTATATTTTTCTCAGCATGAAGAACAACACGTATAGAAATTCCCCTCCATGTATGCAGATTGCAACCCACCTTGCACAAGCAAGTTTTTTTGAGCCACATAGAGACTGAGTGGCTTAGTCTAGGTCATAATGATATTGTAAAAATTGGATTTGAGCATATGTCTCCATTTGCTCAAGCCCAGTAGAACATTTTCTATGTAGCTACTTATAGACATAGATGTGGATACGTGTCATATTGTAAAGAACAATGTAATCCAGGCTCAGCAATAATTTTTAAAACTAATGTTTATTGATATTTTTTGTTTTGATATAATTTAAATTCATTTCAGTATTTCCCCACACAGAGCCATCTTATATAACAAATAATATTTTAAATTAAAAAAGAAAAAAAAAGGAAGAAGAGGGAAAATAACTAGCAAAATTGATCAAGGAATTAAAAAGGTCTGAAAATATATGCAATGTTTCATACCCATAGAGCTCTCTTCTTTGGACCAAAGCTTGTGTTTTATAATCCAGCATATTTAATTGTTCTATGATTGCTCAATAATTTTTGAGTAATAACATGTATAGTTAAAGATGTAGAATCTTGTGTAAAGCAGTCAGTTTTTATCATTCAGAATAGATGTAAATTAACCTTGATTAATAAAACTTTCCTGTTACCATTGCTTTGGGATTTAGTTGGTATTTGAACCTTAGCAATAACATATAGAGCAAAACATCATTTATAACAACTGTAGTCATTTTGAATTTGTGATAATTCAGACAGGAACTGGGCTGAACTAGAGCTTGTCTTTAAGTTATACACAAATATTTTCTAAGTTAATTAAGAGAGCAATGGAAAATGTCTGAACAAGTTATAGTACATGAATTTAATGCAATATTGTTATATCAGAAGAAACTGTGTGATGAATTCAGAGAAATGTAGGAAAACTTATAAACTGATGCAGAGTGCTATAAGCAGAACCAAGAAAATCATACCTAAAATCACTACAATGATGTAAATGAAAAATAAAATAAAATTAAGCCATTACTGTGTAATTATAATGAATATTCTTCACCCTAGAGAAGAGATAAAGGAATGTATCACCCTTCTTTAAAGAAATGAGGGACAGTTAGTATGGAATATTGTATATGCTGCCAAATATGGTAGATGTTTTTTTTTTTACTGTTTTTCTTTGTTACAGATGAGGAAAGATGTGGAAGGTAGGGAATAGTATATTCAAGATGACTATGATGTAAAAACAAAAAGTATCAATATTTTTCATTAATTAATAAATTTAATGAGCAAGATTTGGGGAGGGGAATGATAAACCTACTTAATTGTTCATAGATTTTTAGGACTGGTTGGAATCTTGGACATAATCTAGGTCCAACTTCCCTGTTTTTATGTGAATAAACAAAGAACCCTTAACTGCATGCCAAGACCACAAAATGTTTTTAAGGGTCTTAGAAAGATTTCATTCATATAAAAAAAATCCTTTTGTCTGATAGAGCCCTCCACAAACTGTCTTTGATCTATATTTGCAACCTTATTTAACTCACTATACTCTTCTTTGTGGAGTTTATGTGCCGACTAAACTAAACTATTCACATTTTACTCAAGCTACCACACTTTTGCCTGACATACTATGGCCCATACCCATCCAGTCTTCACTTGCTCACTTCCTACTTTCATCTCTTTTATGAAGCCTTTCATATCTATCCAATTATAAATGATATTTCTCTATTTGGAACTTTCATAGCACCTTGTTTTGCTTTTTTTTGACCACTCTTGGGCACTTATTTTTATACTTTTCATTTCCCTTACTAGGTTAGATTGTAAGGGCTTGAGAATACTGAGGTTGTCTTCTGTATATTAGTATACCCCTCAGTGCCTAAGAATATGTATTTTTTTTCTTTTGATGACATAGGAAGCACAAAGGCAGGAGTCCCACTTGACTAGGTTTTAAACCCAAGGAATAACAATTTTAAAGGGGGTGGAAGCTATCAACAGATCTCAAGGGAGGATGAAAACTGACAGTGAGGGAAATAAGAGGGGTTTTTTGGATATATTGGCGAGTTGTCATGTAAAGAGAAATAAAACTAAAGAAATACACAACATAGAACCACTGCTTACCAAACAGCTTTCCATTTGCAAAATATATCCAGAATATGGCTTGAACAATTTGATAGAGTCCACCAAATGCCCTATTTGAGTCAACACAAATTAGAGAATAGAATCAAGAATAAGAGAAGCAGAAGAAAAATTAAAATGCATGATTTTTATTGTTCTTCCATGCTTGAAGAAATCAATGAATAAAATTAACAGCGTAGGAAAATAATAATTTAACTTTTTATTTGTAGAGCATCTTTCTTCTGAATAGCTCCATGCACTTTACACACATTAGCTCAAAATTTCTCAGAGAATCTCCAGGTGGTTGATAGTAAGTAGCAATAATAACTTAAGGAAAAACTGAGCAGCAATGGCAGGAGTAACCTAAGAGTCAAAACACCAAGTTTATCTACAGAAGAGCTTAGTTTAGAGTTCTTTTAGCTAAATTCTTCTCTTAGTAGAAAAACTATTTACTTAAAAAATTTCCCAGAAATTTATCAGTCAATGACAACAGTGTTTCTATGTATTGGCTTCTACCAGCCTCTAAGATGAGTAAATGTTTTGGTATTCTTCAGCAGTTCGAGTCATGACTGTCTACTGCTCTTTTAGAGTTTTGCCTGTACACACACACACACACACATACACACACACACACTCTCACTCACTCTCTCAGAAGATGCATGTTTTTGAAGATGCACATCTTTGTGATAAAAGTTTTCATTAATAATTTCAAGTCATCCACTGCCAAGGTCCTGCCACTGCTTCAAGATATAGCCATTTGGAGTTCTCATGATCTTCTTTTCCCCCTCTCTGCCAATGTGAAAATTGGTTTTGCAGGTTTGTTTATAGCTTCTTCTTTACTACTTTTCTCCCCCTTTCACCAAGAGAATACTTGTGTTGTTTTGTAGCAGCTACCCAGATCTAAAAGATAGAAAGTTTTCATGTCAGAAAAATTAAAGCCATAAAGGGGATAGATTTCCAAAATTAAATTAGAATTGAGCAAGTCAGTTATGTGTGCATCCATCAGCCAAGTGGTCAGGATCTCATTTCCACAGAAACTAACTTAGCTAGAGGGCAGATAGTGTTTTAACACACAGAAAACACCCCACACCTCTCACTGCAAATTAAACTAGAAAAATAAAGTACTCACCTGCCATTAAGCTTGACATTTTAAAAGGGAATGTTTGTTCCAATTTTTTTTGGTCTTGTTCATTGGTTTACAAAATGCTTCAAGCAAACAAGCATCCAAATGTTTTAAATGATTTTGGGGGAGATATAGTACCTCTATGTGTATAACATATTAGCAAGCAGACTATAACCCAGGACTTCTTGCACCTATCATTAACCATCTTAAAACTTATATCAATCTATTAGGGTAAAAGTGATGAAATTACATACTTAGTATGGATATCAGGTGACATTTATGCCAAAAAACTTTTGGAATTAGATCTTCTCTTTAGGGAGATTGATCCATTATGTTTTGTACATTATCAGGAAATATGTTTGCTTTCAACCAAGAATATAGCTACACTCTAAAAAATCTAATTACTTCCCATTTTTGATAGATATAAGTAGTATATTTATTTGCAATCTCTAAATGCTAAAATAATTCAGATTCAGTGCTAATAACTCCATTATTGGCAATCAGTTTCAGTAATAGCTCTACAATTGTGCAGCAGTTTACAAAGCACTTATACATATGCTATCTCATTTGCTCATTGCAATAACCGTCTGAGGGAGACAAGGGAAGGTATTATTATCCTAATTTTATAGTTCAGAAACTTCAAGTTTCAAGAAGTTAGGTGCCTTGCCCAACCTGAAAAAGTGAGTAAATGGCAGAATAAGGACTTCACAGCCAGCTCTTCTTCCAAATTTGTGATGTTCTTTTCAATACACCATGTACGAAATTGCAGCAGAGCAGAGATGTGCTAGTCAGCTCTCACAGCTTGTCAGAGCCCATTGTTAAATTTTCATTGTGAGCATTTACACCTCAGAAATCCACAGTTTCTACAAAGTACTTGATTAATTGTCTTGTTGATTGTCTAGACCAAAGGCAACCTAAGAGCTGTGGAACTAGATGAAATTGGGAAATACTTAACAAAATAAATTAAAATACAGTCTCACTTAGATAATGCTGATGCATGGTTTTTAGGTCAACAAGCCCATAGGGGACCTTATGTATGCTTAGTGGCCCATTTTCTACTTGAGCTTGACCCCACTGGTCTAGGCTTATGAAAGTTGTTGAAGAAACTATGATGCAGATTCAACATAAAGTGTGTGTGTGTGTGTGTGTGTGTGTGTGTGTGTGTGTGTGTGTTGAGTGTGTTTTATTTCCATAGAACTTGGTTGTTAAGCATTTACCAGCATATTGATTATTGCTCTAGAGCAGGAAATGGCAAACCATTCCAGTATCTTGGCCAAGAAAAACCCATGGACAGTATGGTCCCTGGGGTCATGAGGAGTTGGACATGGTTTGAATGACTGAACAGCACAACAACCCTTATTCGTTATAAATGTTACTTGAGTTCAGCAGGAGGGCAGAAATCCTCGCCAGGCTGGAGGCTAAGAATAATCTTACCCAACGTTTATATTGTGCTTTAAGGTTGGCCTGACTTACAGTCATGGCTATAGCCATCGCAGTGCCTTATGTTAACCTTAATATATTAACAAAACAATGTAAGGTACTTTTCAGTTATGTAGAGAAAACCAAATATTACTTTGCTACTGTTACAGTATTTTGATCATTTTAAATATATTCATTAGTCAACTAACTTAGCATTACTTTATGTTGCTTTATAGTCAAATGAGCCTTATTCTTATTTTAGTGCAAAGAACATTTCCAAGGAAGGGAAGGTGTAGACAATGAATGTACACCTGCCTAATAAATATACTGTACCCTTTGTAGCTACAAAGAAAAGCTTTTTTTTAAATGCTATGAATGAGTAATAGACAAGATTGATCAATGTTAGAGAGTTGAAAATAATGCCTAAGAAAAACTACACTATAAATGTGATCAATTATGTCCACATGCCTGTAATTAACCATATTAATTGCTAAAATGACTATAGAATTTTTAATTTGAAAAATGAATCTTTAAAGGTCCAGGGGACAAGATCCCAGGAAGCAAAATGAACACATGTATAAAGAGAGGCTATAATGTGTTTCATGTTTAAGCACTTGTTAAAAATAATTTTTTTGACTTGCAAAGACTTCAGTAAGACCAATTAAGTTACCAAAAACAGACTATATCATGTATAAACTTTTGAGAGTTTATAAGAATTTATAATATAGCATCAACACATAAATATTATTCAAAGAACCTGTCTAATTTAATTTCCTCTTGACATAAAGCCTCAAGAATAAAGCTTGCAGGGGCAGCTAGGTGGCACAGTAGATAGAGCACCAGTCCTGAAGTCAGGAGGACCTGAGTTCAAATCCAGCCTCAGACCAAACACTTGACACTTACTAGCTGTGTGAGCCTGGGCAAGTCACTTAATCCCAATTGCCTAAAAGCAAAAAAAATTAAAAAATAAAAAAAAGAATAAAGCTTGCATTTGTCCCCTCTACTCAATTGTTGTTGAGGATCCTCGGGCATTTTGGAGGGCCATAAATTGTTGTTTATAATAATATATTTTATTGAATATCACCTCTTCTCACTCTTTTCTACTGTTTCTCTTCTGGCCATTCAGTTCTGCTGTATTTCAGAATCATAAAAGTCACTCCTAACTCTGAAAATAATCTCTTACAAATGCATACTATAAATGATAAGCATTCTAGATGTGAGAATGGTAAATGCATTAGTGCAAATCCACTGCCACTACTGGAAGAAGCAAGTGAAATCATACACATTTCTGATGGTGGGTAATAGAATCAATATTTTAAGCAAATACTTCCCACAACTTGTAAAATAAAGAGGAAAGGTTGATTCTTTACTTGTTATTTTAGGCAAAATGAGTTTGTTCAGTCATTTCCAACTCTTCATGAGCCCATTTGGGGTTTTCTGGGCAAAGATACTGGAGCAGTTTGCCATTTCTTTTTCCAGCTCATTTTGCAGATGAGGAAACTGAGGCAAACAGGCTTAAGTGACCTGCCCAGGATCACACAGCTAATAGTTATACTTTAAATGAAAGCTATCAATAAACTACTAATTCAGACTCTCCTCATATAGGAAAAAGTGGGTTTATAAATAGCAGCACTGAGCCATTTGAAAAATGTCTATATGGGGTAAGAGAAGTAGAATGAATCTTCCATCTATTATGCTTATCCCCAGAAAGAAGCATTATCTAGGATCTTGTGAAAGAATAAACAGCTAATCTATTAATGAGGGTTTTTTTCAGGGCATAATAACATAACCATGGGAGGTAGGTGCTATTATTGTCCCCATTTAACAAATGAGGAAACTGAGTCAGGCAAATGTTAAGTGACTTGCCCAGGATCACACAGCTAGTATGTAAGATTTGATTTGAACTCAGATCTTCCTGACTCCCAGTGCTCTAACCACAGTACCAACTTGCTGCCTTTAAAAGAGAAATTCCATCTTTGGTATTTTATGAGTAATTTAGAGGAAAATTCTACTGTAAGCTATTTAAAATAATATATTCTTATTTAAATATGCTTTAGGACGAAGAAACAAATGAAATTGTTTTTGTCAGGAAAATGTCTGTGTGGTTTTCTGGCATCAAGTTTTTCCTAAATAGTTCAAGGGAAGCGAAGGTTCTCCATTCACTTCTGTCAATGGGAGTGGGAGGTGGGAACACTCTTAAGACCCACCTAACAGAGAAGTTGGGAAAGAGAGGTTGATAAGGAGAAAAGCGTAAGAGAACATAGGGAATTCTGTATTACTGATCTGGACTAATAATAACGCACATTCATCATTCATATGGTATTTTACAAAAGCACTGGGAGGTAGTTAATACTTCTGAAATTATGAACATAAGAAAACTGAGATAGTGAGAAATTAATTAGCTTGCCCACAGTTACACAACTAATTGAAGCATGAGACTCAAACCTTCAGAGTTACTGGACACAACCAAAACATACTTCTTATGAATGAGAAATATGGGTACCATTTTTGTTGCATTAGGCCCATGTTTTTGGGCACTGAACTTCATTTATTCAATTTAGCATATAGCATAAACTACAAATCCAATACTGTAGACATGTCTGAGTTTCCCTTCAGCACACTTGATTTAGGCTTTAAATATCCTTGATTGTATACCCCATTTTTCTCATCGGTATAATGAGGGAGTTGGATGTGATCACCTCCAAACTCCATTTCAGCCCTAAATCTGTGATCCTATAATCCATGTTAATTGACTTGGAGTGAACACTGAAATGTAGAGCATAAAGGGAAAAAGTGTAGCTTATGATGATTAAATTCAGTTATTAGCCCTGTTCTCTTTTCTCTGCCCGCTCTTCTTTGGTGATTTCATCCACTTATAGAATCAAAGCATTTCAAAACTGATGGAATCAGAGGTCATCCAATCCAATACCTGTGTATTTATGCTTTCATGAATCCCATCTATAACATTAACAAGCAGTTATCCCAGCTATTATTTCTACGAAGATAGCTCTCAAATCTATATGTCCAATTATAATCTCTTTCCAAAGTTTCATTCCTGCATTTTCAACTATTTCCTAGACTTGTCAGTCTGAATATTTTATTGACACATTACACATATAACAAATGTAATGTCTCACTCCCCTAGAGCCAGTCTGCTCCATCTGCCTCTCAAGAGTTCCAGGAGTTAACCCTGAGGAAGTAGTTTCTCTTCTCTGATGCCACCTGCTCAAGCCCCCATTGGCTGTGTTCTTTACATTGTAAAGGGCCTGACAAGCACCCCAATTGCATTTAACCACTTAACATCCATGAATTTTAACTTTAGTAAAGGGATACTTACTTCAAAGACAGACCAAGATGA